ATATATATATATATATATATTTGGCACTTGTTCCTCACAATACATCAAACATTGTCCACCATCCTCTTTGGCCTCACCACCACAAGCTTGCGGACAAAAATAGAAGGTATGGAGCTCGTGACACACCCCAAGACTGTGTTAGGGCTTCGGCTATAACACTATACTTTTTCTTTCTCTCACACTTCTCTTTACGGAAGACTTTTTTTATTAATTATGTTTTTCTTTTCCTATATTTCATAGATGCTATCTCTTTGGCGACAATATGACAGTTTCGTGCATTTATGTGATATCAGTTAAATTTTAACTAACTAACGCTAACGCTCCTAATTATAATTTTTATTAATTGCTTTTTTCTGTCCCAAAATATAATAATAAAAAACTTCACACGAGATAGAAGAAAAAACATAATGAAAAGGGTAACATGGTAAAATTGAACGTGGTAAATTGGGCCATATGGAACAATCTAGAATTCCATTACAATGACAATAGAAAGGAGAAAAAGTAAACAAAGGAAGAACATGTAAAAGAGGACGTAAAATAGGCAAGTGTCGGCGACTTTTCTAGTAACATAAAATGCAAGGAGCCGAAAGTCAAGTGTCCTAAAGTTGGCCTATTAATTGCATAATTGGAGTTAAATAATACCAATAATAACCAAAGTAATCTGACTTAAGAATTGTTCTTTTAAAGTGTAATTTAAGTGTAATTTTTAAGTTAAATTTGAGTTATAATTTGAGTTAAAATTATAATTTAAATAAAATTAAGTAAAATTAAATAAAATTAAAACTTAAAAGAACGTAAATTTAAATAAAAGTTTTTAAGTTAAATTTGAGTTATAATTTGAGTTAAAATTATAATTTAAATAAAATTAAGTAAAATTGAATAAAATTAAAACTTAAAAGAACGTAAATTTAAATAAAATTAAAACTCGAGTTATTTTTTTTTAAATTTTTTAGACAAAAGAACGTGACCCTTAATATTTTATTTTCATGTGGGCAACAAATGTTGCTACGTGTCCAATTGCTTAACTTACACGTCTACTACATTTTGAATGATGGACAAACTTTTGGGACCCACAGACAGACCATTTCCTTTATAGCCAATCAGAGAACGTTTAGGAAACTTTGGACGGCTGCCGAGATAACTACACGCATGATGAGCTTGTCTGACTTAACTTCCATTAACTAACCTTTCTGTCACACCGTTCACTTCTACTGTTCTACATATTATCCTTTTGATAATTTATATTGTATTAAATATAAAATTTATTTTTAAATTATACTCTTTATAACACTTTATATTTTTATCTTTAAAATATAACATTCATTCTTCTTAAATAATAAAATATTAATAAAAAGCCTCATATGTTAGACTTTTAACTGAAATTAATATTTAATATATTTTTAAGAATATTTTGATAATTTTATGGTTTAAAATTTAATTTAAATTTAAACTAATTTAAACATTCAAAGAAAACATAACTTTTTTTATTCTACCAAATAAAATTTAAAATTTTTAACTTACATTGAATCAATAATGGATGTATCATAATTAAAAGTTTAAATTTAAATTAATTTTAAATTGGAATTAAATTTAAAACCATAGAGCTACTAAAATACACAAAATAACAAATTAAATGCCAATTTTCGTAAAAAAACCAAACAGAGGGGGTTTTTTTGTTAACATTTCATTGTTCAGGATGAATAAATGTTACGTTTTAAAGATTAGAGAGTAAAGTGTTACAAAGGGTATAGATCAAGGAGAATTTTTGTAATTATTTCTTAAATAAATAAGATGTATTATATTGTGTTATATTGTCATGATAAAATACGGTATTTAGTGTCATGACATACTGTACAAGGGGTCTAAAAGCAAAATTTTACAATTTTAAGGTCAAAATGTAATTTTTAAAAGTTTAAGGGTCAAAATATATTTTTTAAAAAGTTTTTAGGGTCAAAATTTAGTTTTATAAAAATTGAGCAATCAAAATGTAATTTTTAGAAAAAATAAATTTGCATTGTGCCCCTTAATTTTTAAACAATTATAGGTTCCGGCATGACTCTATGTATGCCCGATTCCGAACTTCAGTCATGCCCAACCTTAATATGAATCATGGATCCGCTATAAAATAATAAAATATAATGGACAACTTAGTGGACATTCATTTTTTTAACTCCTGTGTAATGGGTATATATGTAATTAACTCAAAAAGAAAAAAAAACTGGCTCTGTCCGAAAGCCTAGCAGGCTAGAGTAGGGCCGGGTCGACTCTAAAGAAAAAAAAGAGAGAGAGAGAGAAATTTACTGCACTGAATTTTTATCTCTCACTCTTAATTAGTACCCTTTTGTCAATATAGTTATTTGACTAAAAGGGTATTAATTCATAATTAATGGGTAAAAATTAAGATCTATATACTTTTAAGGGATATTTTTGAAGATTTTTTAAGAAAAGAAGATCGGTCCCAAAGCTTAACGGGCCAGAATCGGGCTAGGCTGATCGTTTATAAGGTAAAATTTAAAAAAAAAAAAAAAAGATTTCATGCCTCTTGAGAAATACTATGGGGGCCTCAAAGGACAAATTCGTCGGCGCAAAGAAAACTCAACTTCTTAGTGATGCTATTAACGTCGTTTCTCATCTGCAAATTGTGTCGTAGCCTCACGTTTGTTCTCGTTACTGTACGAGTCTATCGAGGCTCACAATTTTGGCATGACGGAGTTGCGACGAGCGTTGTTTCAAAGGCAGGTGCTTGAGTTGGGCATTTTTGGTATTCTCTCCTCATACTGAAAATTTTTTTTTTTGCCCCTCAAATTTCCTTCCATTTTTTCCATTTTCCCCTCCTTCTTGAATATGTCTTTGATTATTTGGCCCGTTTGGTTCCTACGTTAAATTCAATGATTTTCATTTTGAATTCAAATTTTATGAGAAAATTATTGGTGGCATTTTTTTTTTTTTTGTGAGAGAGAGCATCGTAGGTTAAGTCCTAAACCAAACAGGCTATATGTGTTTGGGCCTTTCTTGCTATAGCCAGCGAGGCCCAATTCTTACCAACTCAAAACCAAGACAGCGTCATCGTGACATCGTCCTCTTCTTCTTCTTCTCCACTTGTCAAATAGTAAAAAACGATCCATTAACGTCCGGAAAATGTTGTCGTAGAAAAAGCTCGACGCAAGCAAGCGATTCAACATCAGCGAATACGACAATAATCAAATGGAGCTCAATCTCTCCTTTCTCTTCTTCGTGTTCTTCATCTCTCTCAGCTTTTCCCCTTTTCTTCACTCTGCTTCTGTTCCTTCAGGTCCCTTCCTATTTCCTATTGATTATCTTTATTAATTTTTATACACACACATATATACATATATAAATATGTATATGTAAAGATCTGTTTCGATTTTATGGTTAATTTTACATATATAAATATGTATATGTAAAGATCTGTTTCGATTTTATGGTTAATTTTATGATTTGATGACTGTAGGATTGGAAAATGGCAGTTATAGTAACAGTCATTCCCGGCGCTTGTTCGTTAAAAGCCAGCCTCAGAAAAGGTATTATTGGAAAGAAAAAATAAAGAGTTTAATTCTTTTGGGTTTAGATTAAATATGTTTACATCTATATATATTGAGTGAAATTCGGTTGTAGTGCTGATGTAGCTAAAGGGTACATGACTAATTCCGAGCTTGAGGCTGCCATAATGGCGTTTGGGAAAAGATGCAGCAACATTTCGAGGATTTACAGGTGATTTCTGACCTTTGACTTTTTTTTTTTACTTGATCATATTTCTGCTTGAAGTTTTGGCTACATGTTAGAAATGCCAAATGTATTTCATGAAGGAAGAATTTTTTTTTTTACTTGATCATATTTCTGATTAAAGTTTTGGCTGCATGTAACAATGCTAAATGTGTTCAAGAAAGAAGAATTTTTTTTTTTTAAAATAAATATATGCTGACTTGCTCTTTCTTCCGTCATTGAGGGGCTTTTGGAATGGATCATCAGTATTGGGACGAGTGTGAATGGGGTACCACTGGTAATCGTTTCACTGAAGTTAGTTTCATGCTTTTGTTTTTATTATTATTATTATTTGTAAATGAATCTCGTAACAATATAATAACATAGGGTTTTTTTATTTATTTTTATTTATTTTTTTGGTGTGTGTGACTGTAGTGGGTCATTGAAATTTCTGACAAGCCTGGGCAGGAAGAGGCAGAACCTGCTTTTAAGGTGAGAGTGAAACTCCATTTACCTCGTTGGATTGTGAAACTCAGAGTTTGATTTGTTTTGTCTTCTTTGTTCTGTTGGGTGGATTTCTTATCCTTTAAAAATTTTCTGTTTCTTGTAAAGTATGAGCTGACAAGAAATGATACCAAAATATTTATGGAATCTTTCTTCTTGGTCTGAAAATATGCATGTAGCCTAACAACTAGTACTTAGAAATTAGAATATTTCCTTATCTGTTTTTGAACTTTTCTAACTCTGAAGTTTTGGTTCCATCTGAAATGGCAAAATCCTTTAGTGTATAAAGAACATCAAGGCATAGTGAGCGAGGATTAGCTATAAGTCTAATATTCTTTAGTCCCTCAATTAGCTGTAAGTCTGAAACGTTATGACATTCCTAATTGCATGACAAAGTCTCAGCTTTTGATTCTTCTCTGATATAATTAAAACATTTTTCCTCATCTTATAGCTAATTGCTCCTTACATCTACTCTACATCAAATACAGAACTATCGTATCATTGTTTACTCTAGCCTGAAATTCTTATTTATTTCAAATACAGAAGTATTGTATCATTGTATATACTTTTGAGAAACTTTTATTATCCATCTTGCTGATTGGCTGTGGGTTAAAATTATCTATAATTCAATTATTTCCTCTTCTCTGGAAGAATTTATGTAAAAATGTGACCAAGCAAAGCACGAGACTAAGTCTTAATTCTCTATAATGTACCTTTATCCATATTGAAAAATAAATAATATTGTTGGTCCACCTCCTATTGGTTGAAACTTGAAGCTTTTGGGACAATGATGATCTAGCGTGGTATTAGAGCATGTTGTTTTGAGTTGAAATGCCGAGAATTAGTAACCTAACATTGCACAAGGATTTATAGTCTTTTGTTTTTGTTTTCCATATTCTGACTCTTTAATTATTTTTCTCCTAGTGTCTTTACTGGAAAGATTATTTTATTCTTTATTTATCACTTGAAATATTAAGTGGGGACTGTCGGTTATAGTTTAAGCAACTTGGTTATGAATTTGTTGGTTGTTGCAGTACATAGGAAACATACATGGTGATGAACCTGTAGGGCGGGAGCTGCTAATGTTACTTGCGAATTGGATATGTGATAACTATTTGAAGGATCCATCGGTACTTATCATTTCTCTTTCAGCTACGTTAGTCTATTTTTTATTTTAAAATTTTTCATGATGTTGCTAATATATTGTGTGTAAAGTTCTAAACCTTCATTTTTCTTACATTACTCCCTGACTGGCTTACTAAAATGCATTCATTAACTTGAAGATTCTTCCTTTGTCATAAAATATTTCATCAAATTGAGCCCACTGATGAAGTTGAAGGAAGAAAAAAAAAAGAAACTTTACATGTTTATTTGTCGCTTCGATTACTAGTTTTTTTTTTTTTTTTAATTATTCTTTATCTCTTGTGCTCTACATATTCTTTATGCTCTACATATTCTTTATCTCTTGTGCTCTACATATTTCATTGTTTGTTTCTTTGTTAAAGTTCTTCGTCTTCCATGCCATTTGTTACCTTTTTTTCCAAGCTTAATTTGACATGGATCACTCAATTAAACTTTTAGCTCATTTAAACCTTTAAAAGGTTTATTTGTCTGTCTATTTACATTTTACACAATTCTTTTAATTCTTCTTTTGATAAGATGCAATTTAGGTAACTTTCAATATTCGTAGGTATTGAAAAAACTATCTTGAAAAGTCCATTTCTCTCTACAGGCTACATTGGTTGTAGAAAGTGTTCATCTTCACATACTTCCATCAATGAATCCTGATGGGTTTTCCTTAAAACAGCGTGGTAATGCAAATAATATTGATTTAAATCGGGACTTTCCAGACCAGGTATTATTTTGTGCAGTAATGTTTCCGTCCTTTTATTTATTTTGCCAACAGTTTATTTTGGTTCCGTTAAATTCCTGCCATCTTCTGGATATGCAAGGTGTTAAATCCAAATTGAAATGTATCATTGTAAACAATTAGCCTTTTTCTTAAATTGAGATTTAGTTATAAATTTTACTCATGATTTGTAATATTACATATATATAACAGTAAGAGTTAATGAATAGATAAGAAGAGACCTACATGTATATATGTGTGTGTGTGTGTGTGTGTGTGTGTATGACTTCATTATTAGACTCTCACAGTTACTACTAAAAAAAGGCTGGTTACAACTTAAATGATCACGTGGTTCTCGTGAAGTATGGATTGAATGGTATGAGAGGCAACTGAATCTATTCAATGTGGATTTTGCCTTGCTGAAAACATATGAAATGTACAAGTAGCCTCTGTGACTCTGCATTCATGTGTAAGGTTTTTGTTATTTAGATTCATATAAAAGCATAGATGAAATAAGTGGAAATTTCAATACAGAATGTGGGATTCTGTGGCTTATAAAAGATACATTTAGGTATACAATTCAAAATTTTAAGGTCAAGTTCAATCTATTTAATCTATATATTCACACTGCATGTTCTATATGCGCTTCTTCAGCATTTGTTAATAAATGAAATGGGGGTTACTTTCTATTGCTAGGTTTTATATGAATTACCTGAAGAAGATTCATGTCTACACTTGAATTTTTCCCCAAAACTCGATTCAACTTCTTCAGTTCATTTCAATTTATTTGTTCCAAACAGGTTTTAGGTTAGAATATAAGCAGGAAACTATACATCTCTTCGTGTTTAGAGCTAATTTGGGATTTGGATTTATATAAAAGCTCCAAACAGCTTTTAGGTTGGAATACAAGCGGAAAATTGTATATCTCTTCATGTACAGAGTTAATTTGGGGATTTTCTATTGATGAAAGACATTGACACGAAATGACAGTTTTTCCCTATGAATGATGATGCATTTGGACGTCAACCTGAAACCACAGCAATAATGAGGTGGTCGAGAGAGATACATTTTACAGCATCAGCCAGCTTGCATGGGGTAGTGTATCTTTCTTTCCATATATGTGCGTATGTGTCTATATATATGCATACCCAACTCGCAATTGGCCCACAATTGCTTTCATCATTCCATGTTTGTTCATCTTGCTTATCAGCTCTGCTATGGTACCCTATAAAAAGAAATCAGCTTATATGTATATACGTGTGTGTAAATATTTATTTATATTTTAGCATACCTTTTTATATTTTCTGCTATTCCCGTTTGTTGTTAGTAGATGAATGGATTCAGTAACAGTGCCTATCTCTTCACACTTTTCTGGAGAACTTTCTTTTTGATTTAATATCCTGCTCCATGTCAATGGCTTGGTTAAAGAACCAGTCAAAATTCCTAACCAAATTATAATGTACTGAATGCTGGTAAACATGTTCTTTAAACTTACAGGGAAACTAACAAACATATTTTCTTTTCCTGTCTGAAATCAGCAAAAACATTCATGTATAATACGTGAGATTGTCCCTATGTTAGGGCAAGAATACAACTGTAAACGGGAAAATTGATCTGGAAAAGTCCCTGGTGGAACCAGTTTCCTTTGCATGGTACCCTTGATTTTTTTTTTCCTTCTTGATTTTTGAGTACTTAAAAGAGAAGATTGCACGCCATTTCTGTAAAATCAAAGAACACATAAGTTTCTCTGTCCTTCATCCAATAGCTGCATGTTCTTCTTTCATTAATTTTGTTGGGTCATCCAGATTAAGTCCAACATTGGAGATATTAAAGTTTTATTTCAGTGTGCTTGATTCACACATATCGTGGAAATTTTGTTGGCTAACATGAATTCTGATGAAATGTAAAGAGTATTTAGATAAGGTATTTTGTTGCTCACAGGGTGCACTTGTTGCAAATTATCCATGGGATGGCACTCAGGATAAAAGGTAATATTAGATTGATTTTTACTTGATGTCATTACCTTCTCTTATTGTACTGACCATACTCATTTTCTCTATATTGAAATTGGCTAACCAACTTTTTCCTTTTCTTTCTATATTTTTTCCTCCCTAGTGTTAAATATCTTGTGCTGGCCTAAACATGTATTAGTTTGTTAGCTGTTAGCTGTACTATGGTGTAGTGATTTTCTTTTTCCCTGGCAAGACTAGTCCAAGCATATTTTCTGGCTGTTAACCAGAAAATATGCTTGCAATAGTCTTGACTGTCAATTTGGTTTTCTCAGAATGTATATTTTTGGGTACTGATTGTCACTTTGTACTTGCTTTACACTTGACTTTGTCCTCTGATGTGAATTAATTTCAGACGTAATTACTATGCTTGTCCTGATGATGATACATTCCGGTTCTTGGCAAGTGTATATAGTCGCTTTCACCATAACATGTCCTTAAGCGATGAATTTCAAGGAGGAATTACAAATGGAGCATCCTGGTAATGCAGCATGTGTTTTTCTTTCTTTCTTTATTTTTGTTCTGTTTTTTTTTTTTTTTTTGGCCCTTTTTTCAAAAAAAATTTAAGAAACAAACCTTCATTAACCATTACTCATGCTGGTATGGCAGCTTGAGTAATGGTTGTTAACCTGAAGAATTGCATTTTGCAACTTTAGAGGGAACAACTCATTACTACTTTGTATTCATCTTAATCTACAAATATTAGCAGGCATAGACTTCTCTTTGACCTACACACAAACTCACAGAGAGGGACACATACAAATGTTTGTATTTAGGTACATATGAATGCATTCACAAACACACACACACACACACACACACACACACACGCACGTGTTTCAGCAATTGTTTCACAATAAGACTGTCGCAGGTATCCCATATATGGAGGTATGCAAGACTGGAACTACATACATGCTGGTAGCTTTGAATTGACTCTAGAGATTAGTGACAACAAATGGCCTCCTGCAAATGAGGTTAAATTTCAGCTTAAAAAAATCATTTCCTTTATATTGTATAATTAATCTTGTTTATTTGATAATTTAACCGAAAAATTTATTTCATTTTTTCTTCATAACCCAAAAAAGATTCTCCTTTGTAGGAAACAGAAGTAGTTTATAAATTTTCTTCTTGTCTATTCTCTTTATAAAAGATTCTCATCTATTCTCCTTTGTAGAAAACGGATGTAGTTTTGTAACAATTCATAAACTTTTTTTTCCCCTATCACTTCAAGGAGGGACACCTACTTTTGTTTGTTTCTTTCCTCGAAACATCTATTTTGAAAACTGTTTGGTAGGATGTGATTCTGAATCTGATGATTTTAGTGACTGTAATTTTTATGATGACTTCCTTAAGGCAGTTCATCATTTTTCCACTGTGCTAATAAGTATATTATTTAGCAAAAATGCCATGGGAATCACGATCATGAAAGTTTTGATAGAAAAGTCATAATGTTGTGGGTACATTTCTTAGCTATTAAATGACCAGAGGACTTGGTACTTAAATTTTCTATGACTTTTTTTATTTTATTTCTTTTGTGAATTTCCTAGGTCGCAGAATAATTGGAATTAATTTAATTCTACACACATTTACTATGATTGGATGACTAAAGGAGTTGGTACTTAAAACACACCTACAATTTTCTATTTTTGTGAATGCCCTGGGAAATTTAGTATTCAAATGGAATTTATTTTTATTACTCCGAATAACAACTTTCATTCAACTAGATCTGGCAATAAGCTGGTTACTGCATCAAAGTTTATCTCCCGGAACAAAACCTAGCCAGTTCTGTTGAAGTTCAAAGCCCATCTAAAGTCAAATCAGCAGAAAGATTACTAGATTCCTGAGTCCAGTTAGAACAGACATACAAAGAGAAGCTAAATCCTTAACCGAAACCACCAGGGGAATAAGGGTAATCCAGCCCTGTCCAGAATAGCTTCAATGCCAGTCTTCATATTGTTCTCCAGCTAGTTATTTTTATTTACCAGTTGAAGAGTTTAACTAATTTGTCAACTAGGTTAAGAAGTTAGATGGGCCCTGGCTAGCTCATTGAGTAACCTTACATGAATTACATTTCTATATAAAAAAAAAAAGACATAAGTAACTTCTATTGTTAACCTTTCTATGTAATTCATGTCTTTAATTTCTATCTTCCCTATATAATAAAGATTCTTTGCTACGTTTATCTATATATTGTGTGCCAGTGCAGCTTGCTACCCTCTGGAATTACAATAGAAGGAGCATGCTTAATCTTGTTCTGAGCCTTGTGCAGGTATTAGTGGTTTGGCTATCATTATGTTTCTTGTAAACTGTAAGTTCATGTAGCATAACTTCTCTTTTTATTTTTCGTTACTCTTTAAGATTGTATCCCAGCCAATCTAGTGAATGGTTACATTTCGTCATATATGGTTCTCAGTTTCTGAAGTACTCTCCCAGATAATTTATACAATTGACATGCTTAAAAAAAATATTCTCCGCTGTCGAATTTAACGTTTATTTTTATTTTTATTTTTATTTTTGATGTCTCATACTCATTAGACAGGAGTACATGGAAGGATTTTTTCATCAGATAGTGGGAGGCCATTGCCCGGCTTTATTACTGTCGAGGGAATAAATTACACGGTATGTTATGTTGCATGTAAAATTTTTGTATTGAAAAGGATCATCTGACTTTGCAATCACGCTGTTGATTTACTTTTCAATTATGCTAAATTTACTTGTCACAAATCAGTTGATCATTAAATTAAATGTATTTGTTGGATTACTGATTAGCTTAAAAGTTAAGCTATTATTAAAAAGGGAAAGCCTACAATAGTTTTATGCTCCAACTCTCCCACTTCACATGTGGGCTTAGACAATGGTAAACACATGAGTGGACATAAATTTGATAAGCCAACAAAGGAATTCTTTCTATGAGCAGCCTAGGACTTAAAAAAGGGCCCGACTTGGGGAATCAAGTGATGAGGATTTGAACTCGCTGCCATCAGCTCTAGTACCATTTTGGGAACAATATATCTTTGAAAGGTTGAATTATTAGTAGCTTAAAGCCAAAGTGTTCTGTTGTGGTGATATGGCCATGGTGACTGTTGTCAGTAAAGTCATTTTCATCTTTCAGATAGCGTGTATTTTGGCTAGTAGGACTCGAATCCTTGTCTTAGACGCTTGAGTTGCACCTAATTTAATACATATAAATTTTAATTATCAAGTTTAGCCAGAAATGGGTTAGAAAAATGTCTGGATCAAGTCGGTTCCCCTAAAATGTGGCATTCTCAAAGTTTGAGGATAATTTGTCTAAATCCTTGCTAATCTGTTTTCGTTCTTATGTAGTCAATGATGATTAGATTGACAATAAATGTGTGTGAACCTATATATATATATATATATAATCGTATATGTATATATTTTCCTGAAAAGCTTAACTAGACATAGTTGGACGTGCATGAAAAAGAACAATGTTGCAATCACTAGTTTGCCTTCAGAAATCTAAAATTTCAGGTGAATTTTTTATTTTTAACAACTAGAGAGGGATATGGAGCTAAATAGTAAAAGGGAGGGCAAAAAAAAGGATGGGAGCGGTATCCAAATTTTCCTTTATTTTTCTGTTTTCTGGGTTTACCTTACTTGGATCAGGAATCGCCTCTGCCTTTCTCAGTAATTGCATGTAGTGAACTTGTTAGGATGTGTAAATTTTCTTTTTCCGTTCCGTGCTGTCATATTTTTGGATACTTCCATCACGTCGTACTTTGGTTAATCCAATTACTATACTATGTTTATGATCAATTGAAGCTGTGGATGTGTTTTGTTCGGCGAGCCTATCGTTAGCTGAAGTTTTGGATATAACTTGACAAGTATGGTCAGCTGATTTGTTCCTTCTTTCCATGAAATGTAATTTTGTTGTTATGTTTTTTTAGGTTAAAACAAGAAGAGTATTTGCAGATTACCATCGATTGCTTGCTCCAGGAGGGAGGTATATAGGTACTAGTTGAATTCGATAAATCTTAGAGACAAAAATCTTAAAATAAGATGACTTTTATCAATAAGCAGGTGAACGTACTATGTGATCATTTTATACAAAGTTATGTTGTTTACATGGAAGACAGTAAAATTAATGAGGGGGAAAAAAAAAGAAGAAAAAAGTCAATGTCGAAAAAGTATTCGTGAAGATGTTTCCATAACTCTAATTTATTAGAATGGATAGCCTTGAATAATTAAGATACATGAAATAATGTGATATCTCTCTGCATGTATGCTCACGCATGCACGTACACATATATGCACATATGTTATCACATACATGTATGTATAGTAGGTAACAACTTACTAACTTGCTTTTGTTCCAAGATATGCTAAAATTTTGCATGTTATTTCAGTTGCTATTTGTTATTTTAGTTATAATTAGGAATAAGGACAATATGCTCTCCCAACTTCTGCTCAAATTTCTAATGTTATTTTTCAGTATTGGTTGGTTATTCTAGTTCTTATGGTTTTTAAATAAGAAAATATTTTCTTAAATAGTGCATTTAGTACATATTTTCTTTCTTTTCCCTTTTTTTTTTTCCCTTCTTTTCCCACATTAAGTTCAGTCTCAGAATAGTCTTGTTTAATGACGTTATTTAGAACTGAGGTTTACTATCCAAAATAATGGGATTACTCAAGCCTTGGGACATTGTTCTTCTACAGTGATTTCTGATGTGGAACTATTAACTTTTCAGTTATGGCCACTGTGCCTGGGTACAGATCAAAGACAACCCATATCTGGTTAGAAGAAGCTGCCACGACAGTTGATTTCATTCTGGACCCAGTAGTTACTCCCAAGGGGAATCTACTTCAAAGTGCATGTGAATGCAATTGTGGTAGTTTGAGCAGGTATGGCTTTGTAGACTTTTTTCAGGGGGGTCACTTTGAAGTATATGCCATTTTGATTGTAGCTTTAGGATTCCTTTGTTTTTTGTTTCAAAGGAGAATAAAACACAACCTCTCAAAACAAAGACAGTACGGGCCCAAAAGGCCAGTTGCAGTCTGAGGTTCCCATTTGTACTACAGTTAACTGTATATTTTTTTTTTAGCAAAAAATTTGTTTTGCACAAACTTATCTCGAGAATAAGATCTTCACCCATGTTTCCATGGTGGCTGAAAATAACCACCAGACTGAAATAGTACAAAAATTGTTCTCTGCAAGTATCTCTTTGTACACACTCACTTGGAAATCATGAGAGGTTTATTTCAACTAATGATCTTAATATATAGAGCTGTTTGCAACTGATCTCATGCGTCCTCGAAAATAGTGAATTAGCAATTGGTGTTTAGCAGTCACTAATGTGCTTCACCATGGATTGCCTTGGAAAAATGATTTTCAATTCTGTTCTGTCTGATCTGTATAGTTTGTACATATGGTATAACGTGCTTCATAGTTTTCATTTCTATTTATTACCTGTTAGTCGACGGCATATGCAACCGATGATCTCATGTGACCTCAAACATAATGAACTAAGCATAGTTGTTTATCTCGGGAGCTATTGTGCTTCACGATTGATTCACTTGGGGATATAATTCTTGTTGTTGACTTCCACTAAGGAAATACTAGTAGAACAAGAAGCAATCATTGAGAAAGCCTAGGAGACAACAGACAGAGCAACGGGAAGAAAGTTTATCCGGTATCAAGGTTTGTTCGTTGGAGTTGATTGGTTGTCATTTCTTTGGATTACCTGCATAGGTTTGATAGTTAATTTGCAAACTTCCTCAAACTTCTCACATTATTGGTTATGGTAAATTCTTTGAACATTTTTTAGCAGTTTTCTCTGCCTTGAACAACTTTTCAATTTCTTCTTTTTCTTAAGAAGTGATGTTCACTATTGTTTCCAACCATAGTCAATATTTTCCAGCCCATTCTCGAAAATTTTAAAGAACGAACACGGTTGAAACTCTTCTGCTAAAAGCAACTGATAGTTTTGGATGGTGAACACAGTTGATGGATTTGACTGAGTAGTCCGATTGTTCCACAAATTTGTAATTGTGAAAGGTTGTTGTAGCATCAGCTAAGTAGTCCGATTGTTCCACAAATTTGTAATTGTGAAAGGTTGTTGTAGCAGGTAAATAGACATGGTCCTTTATTCAGATACAGATGTATTTACTGCAAAAGAAAGGTCATTAGATATGATATTCTTGTGATATTCTATATTTGAAATATTACATAACAGATCATGAATAGCTGTATTAGATATGGGGAAAAATCAGATAAATCACATCTCCACCATGGATTTGAGGCTGCCTTCCGAGACTAGTTTCTTTAAGTGGTGAAGAAGTAGATCAAAATCATCTCGCGTCTTTATGAGGCTAAGTCGTAGATATCGTTATGAGGCTAAGTCGTACATACTGTTCTTCAGCACCGAACATGCTACCTCTACGGCCGATGATATTGGCTGCTTTAAGGACTGCATAGCAGTCTTTGTCTTCTTCCCACTCACACTTCAACCATGCAGAAGATGCCATGGATTGTATAGTCTCACTGTTAAAACTAATGTTTTAAGATTGAAGACCTTTATATAGTTAATGCTTTATTTGCATTCAGCCGCAATGACTATGAGCTTGCAACAATGAAAATTCTTTGATGAAACTAGCATAAGTATGTCATGCATGTGAATGGATTTTCC